CGGTTGTACTTTCTAATTACATTTAAATTGTACGACACGATTAAACTCGTATAGTTCATTGCAATCACAGTGCATACTCTTCATATTACAGACAGTTAAAGGTGTTGTTACAACAGTACATGACTGGTATCAAATATAGCATATCTCTCTATTGTAATAGGTTATGGGGTTAACTAAACTCCTTGTCCTAATGTGTGTGTGCACATGCATCCTACACAGCTGTATTCATTATCCAATGAGGAAAACCCTAGTTTTGTGCTAGGATTCATTAATAGGCTGCTTATTACTGACATGCTCTTCCTTGGTCTATGAGAGGCTCAAAAATACTTTTATAACTTGAACTGTGATTTCTGTTGGTTCCAAAAATAGCATATATCACCTTCATGGGAAAAAATCTGAATCAATGAATATGCATTCCTGTTTCCATATGACACTCCTATAACAGATTTTAGAAGTTGCAAATTGGAGCATAATTAACTTAAAAAACAATTGAACACAGAGAAAAGTTCCTCCTCCATTGGAATACTTTTTATGAATCAAAGTTATTATGTGACATTGTCTGAATAAAACTCAAGTGTTTCGACTTCTATGGTTTGTGTGATCAGCCACTGCCTATGTGGTGCATTTCTACAACAAATGAAGTGTTGCTGCTTTATCAATGTATGCAATCTGGTTTTTCTTTTGACATGGAAAGCTACACAGTTCAGGACAACATTTTATTTTGGGAAACAGGAGAATGAACAGTACAGCATTGTCACATTAACGTTGCAGAACAGACCCAGGCCCTAATCGATCAACATTTGTAATAAGTTTATGAAAAACATGAGGCTTAAAAACATTATCAAATGTATTTTATGTCAAGTCCTCATAATACCATAGACTCACACGTAAAAAACAACAACTGTTGTGTGTGTCAGAGGGAAAGGGAAAATGTCCGGATATAGACACATGTGCATTGACCTGTTTTTGGGATCTATTAGAAATGATTTGGAAACTTACACATTCTGATTATTTTCAAATGTTTAGTAAGTCTTTTTTACTCTTCATGAGCTGGCTTGAAAAGTGTGAAACTAGTGTCTCACTGCAGAGACACTGTATTTTAACTGAGATACTAATTGTTCCTCCTCTCTTTCCCTCTCCTGTCCTCTCCTCACTCTTCCTCTCCTCTCCTCAGCAGCTACACTTAAACAGCTGAATTGGTAACATTGTCAAAATGCTGCGAGCAAATGTGGTTGGGAAACTGGACCCCCCTCCTCCATAAATAGATGTTTGTTTCTGCTCTCTGTTTGTTTGTGTTGCCTCTTTCTGGATCGGGCCTGCAGGGACCATTTTTCAGAAAAGACAGCAAGGCTTTGGGGAATACTTAGACTTCCTCTTTTTCACCCTCCTACATTTCTTGTTTAGACATTTCCCGCTCTCTTCTCTTTCTACATTTAATCAGTTTTCCTTTTTATCCAAATCACTTTCTGTCCCTCCATTGTATATCCTATCCTTATATATATATTTTAGGACAGGACTATTTCAGGTCAACTAAAACAAGCTGAAAAATATACATTTTCTTTGACTTAACTTTTATACGTTCAGTTTATCTTTTAGACACAACATACATAACCAATAAATATTTCCATTTTATGTTGTTCTCATCTCCCACTTTTCTCTTTTTTTGTGAGACTAAAATATATGGTGATTTCAGAGCTTCTGCTTCTCTAAAGTAAATCTCTTTGTTTTTCTTTGAGGAAGACTGGCTGATTGTCGGCACATCAGTTTGGTCAGTTTCCCCAGCGCTCCTTCCTCTCCTCTTTCTCCCTCCCTTCCTCCTTATTTCACTTCCTCGTTCTCATACTACCCAGCACTCTCTTGAAAAAAAGAGAGAAACCCCGCTTCATGGCTTAGAGAATGAGCTGTGCCTCTCAGCTGCAGACCGAGAGGAGAGAAGAAAAGAGAGAGGGGAAAAGGGAGTAATAAGGAGAAGAGGAGGAAAGCAGCGACACACTTGCATCTGTTGTGGCAGCGTCCTGCAACCGAGAAGCAAATGAGAGTGGGAGATAGGAAGAGAGAGTACGCCACAGTGAGAGGAGAGAGAGAAAGAGAGGAGATGTCAGACAGCCGTGTCCTTGAGAACTGCACCACAACTCTTTGAAGAGAGCCGGGAGACGGTGTGAGTAACGTGCATCTCAGCGGGACATGAGTGTTTCTGTGTGTGTGTGTGTTTCATGATTGTACATGTGTGTTTGTTTGAGTGTGTGTGTGTGTGTGTGTGTGTGTGTGTGTGTGTGTGTGTGTGTGTGTGTTGGCAGAACAGATGGCATCGGGCTGAGAGACCCAGTGTGGGGTGAGACATCTCCCACTGAACTCTTCTACGCACACACACATTTGCAAAGATCCATCATTAATATCATTATCATAATACTCTCAGTGCGACGCAGCCTGTCTGTCACAAATATGATCATGCTCACTGTTTCACTGTAATTATTTAACTACCTTCGTGTGAGGAATCATCCGTGCCATCATGTATACCTGCCACACCATTTGGTATTAACATACACAATTTCCCTCTTAGTATAATTAATCACTTACTCTGCTTTCACTACAGTATTTTTATTATAATAATTGAAGGTTATTTGCCATCACTCTGCCTGCAAAAATAATAGAGTTTAATCAAATGTAAAGTGTTTATACAGAATTATACGTTTTTTGTATTTTCCATCACAAACAAATGTTTTCTTTCGGCATGCTTCAGTTAATAATGCAGGGTACATTTATACAAAAGGCTTTTATGATATATGATGTTATCATCTCTGATAGAGCAACAGTTTGGAACATTTTATAGTAGAATTAACAGTGGTTTTATTGAAAGGAATCGCACAATTAAAAAAAACATTTAACAATTCTAAAAAATGTCTGAGTGACAACAATTTAGCATTTCTTACTCTTGGCTCTTCATATCTGTCATGTTGATACATCAAACACACACTGTGTTAAAACTGTCACACCATACACATGAGGTGCCGCTCTATGACTAACACATGACTAACTCTATGATAAACCCGGTCTATTGGGGTCAATAGAGTTTGCATCTGTTCTCCATGAACTACAACTTATGAAGAAGAAGGTCAACTATGTTTCACTCAATAGTGATTGGGATGTTTGTCCTATTGCTAAAAGTTGAGACAGTAGAGCACTGAATGATCATTCTTTACTGTTCAACTGGCTGAGAGAATAATTAAAGACCAGGAGGCTGGATGGGATGTTTTTGTGGTGAATGCCTCTGGAACAGACTGACTGATTAACAGGGGAACTGACTGAAGTACAATCACACATGGTTGCATACATGCAAGAGGCCTTGAAACACACACACACACACACACACACACACACACACACACACACACACACACACACACACACACACACACACACACACACACACACACACACACACACACACACACTACACATCAACGTTTTCTGCAGGATATACTGTATATGTGTTTATGTCTAAGATCAACAATAAACAGAGCACTTGTACTTGCGCTTGTGTATGAATATCATGTTTTCCCTGTGTGTGTGTGTGTGTGCGTGTGTGTGTGTGTGTGTGTGTGTGTGTGTGTGTGTGTGTGTGTGTGTGTGTGTGTGTGTGTGTGTGTGTGTGTGTGTGTGTGTGTGTGTGTGTGTGTGTGTGTGTGTGTGTGTGTGTGTGTGGCTGTGTGTGTGTGTGTGTGTGTGTGTGTGGGTGTGGGTGTGGGTGTGGTTGTCTGTGTGTGTGTGACACTGGCTGAATGATGCTGGCGAAGAAAATCCAATTAGATGGGAATTTTCCTCCTCAATATCTCCCTCATAGTCTTATATTAACGAGACGAGAGGAGACGGAGTGCGTAAACAATACCGCTAATCCATTATATACAATTAAGCTTTCAAGGCGAAAGAAAGCAATTGCTGGGAATGAAAAAGTATACTTCCAGATTTAACGGGGTGTTACTTCAGAGTGAATGGCTGGGGTTTGCTATGGTTTTGCGCTCGCTGACCAAGTGTCAGTTCTCTGATAGCTATTGCTGTATTTAAACAGCCAATCTTGTCTGATAATAATTGTGGTATTTTCAAATGCAGGATTAATGGAGTATGCTTATATTAATGTATGTGTTCTGCTGGAATGTATACTGTAGCTGAGTTCTTTGTTGATGCCCAGGTTTCTTATCTCATGTCTCACATGCGGTAGCTCGCAACATTGTCAGCCGGCTCGCAGCCGGATAACATATTTACAAAGGTGTGTGTGTGTGTGTGTGTGTGTGTGGTGTGTGTGTGTGTGGTGTGTGTGTGTGTGAGTGTGTTGTGATGTGGTGTGTGGGGTGCGGCGGCGTGCGCAGCGGAGCGCCGGTGACGGCCCGGTGCGCTGGTGGGGTGTGTTGGGTGTGTGGTGTGTGTGTGTGTGTGGTGTGTGGGTTTGTGGTTTTGCTGTGTGTGTGTGTGTGTGTGGTGTGTGTGTGTGGTTGTGGTGTGTGTGTGTGTGGTGTGGGTGTGTGTGTGTGTGTGTACATGTTTGTTTGTTTGTGTGTGTGTGTGTGTGGGTGCAGTGGAGGGCAATCAGCAGACTGTGTGAGCGGACATCTGCCAAGACAGCAGTGAAAACCAAAAGAGTAAGACACAAACACACACACACACACACACACACACACACACACACAACACACACACACACACATCACACACTGCAATCAACCACAGGCAGAACTATAATAACAGATTTCTTTCATCATCAGGCCTGTCTGCAAGGGACTGTCTGCTTTGCTGGGTTCAGACAACCTTGGCAGTTTCAGGTAGCAGGATCATCCTCACTGTGTCCACAGAACAGTGTGACCCTAATTGATGCCTCCTCCTTTACAGGTGACTGCTTCAACAAACAAGAATGTAAACTTTTCACATTCTCTTTTTATTAAGACATAGGATTATAAAATAATAATAATTTTTGCCCGTTTTTTCTCTCTCTTCTCTGTTCTTCGAAGATTGCCCCACCACCCCATGCAGGCCATTTCATTCGCTCAGGAGGAGATCGGTACGGTCCATTTTTCTAATCTTGCACATGTACAAACGTGTGTTTATGAGCAAAAAAGGAAACAAACACCCATACTGTAGGGACACACAGATAATAATTAGGATTTGGCTGATTACCGCTTGGTTTGCTTGGCCATTTGTGGTGGATTGAATTATTTCCCATCCCAGTCTTGAAATCTTTTAATCAACTTTTAATTGGTGTACAGAGCAAGTATTTATCAAGGACCCCTGGCTGGAACTGAAATGTTTGACACAAAACTTCAGAATAAAAGTTTTTTATCAAATCCTTACGACTTTAGGATAACCTTAAAGTTTAGAGAGCCTGAAAGGTGTATTAGGAGTACATACTATATGATTGCATAATAAAAACAGGTGTGTAGTACATGTTAGGTTTTTAAGGCTTGTATTGAACATTATTTTTGCACAATATTAATTGGTCATGATGACTGTGCAACAGAATGTGAAACAGCTTTAGCCTTCATTCTTGAATTTGAATTCAAACAATTGATACACAAATAAATGTAAAAGCTTGTATTGATTTTTTGCAATCTTTCCATTGCTCAACTTCATTGTTTGAACTTGTCAATGTATTTACTAAACTTCCCTTATTAAACATTTCTGTGATGTGGCTCCTCTATAGTGTAGAAAGGTTTCCCCCATGTTATCATTATCGTTCTTCATTGTCTTTGCGCTACAAGACATTTTATCGTATATTATAAATAGATTACATTCATTGGATCAGAATACTCACAGGATGAAATGTAATAGTTGTAGGGTACATTTCCATTTCTGATTGGTAATAATAATGCTTAGGATTTGGCCTAACTACGCTAACATACTAACATATCAAGAAAGCTTCTTCTTAATGCATTTATCAAAAAACTTGTATGCACTTCGTTCACCATCTTTAAACCTCACCATATCTTTTTTTCAAACTAATTTCTCTATCTATTCTTCCTTCTCTTTCGCCTCCATGCGCCAAATGATTCCATAATACAGAATTAAGGTTATCCTCCTGAGTGAAAAAAAACAATGCAGCAGTGTTGATGTTCTGATACAGGCCAGCAGGCGGACATGTCAGTTGTTAATGAAGTCTGGGTTCAAACCCTGCTGATAAACTCTTTGACTGACAAAAAACCGTTATTGTGATTTGGTTCGTGTTCCATAGCGAAGCTTTTCATTTTAAACAAACAGTGAATTAAAAAAGTTGGGTACCACACGTACTATTTCATTTTGCCAATTGCCATACTGCGACGTTGCGCTGGGCAATGTTTTTCAGGGGAATAGGAAATGCAGTTCTCCTCTCGAAACAACAAACCAGCAGCTACGAAGGATTATAGTCGTAGTTTTAATTAATTAGCTAAACGAAATAATCTTGTAGTGTGCTCTTAAGCTCGGCGTCCATCTGGGCTAGGGACACAGTAGAAGATATGAGGTGAATTAAAAATCTATCTACACAGCAGGGCTTTATGGTGAACATATTCAGCTAACTCTGCTCTTGTATTAGTATCAGAGAAACCACTGATGGGGAGTGATTAATTAAGCAGGGTAAAACAGTAGACATGACCATTAACTGAATAAGTCTGCTGTTTTCAATTATTATAATAAAGGAAGGAATCATGAATCAAGGGCTTGATTACTGAGTCCAGGTGTAAATGGTTAAACCGTACCACATAATAAGACTGTCAGGGGTTACGGTCGGGGTTTATGTATGTGACCTGCATCATAGACTGATAAAATACGGCAAATACCTTCAAGTGTTATGTAATTGATGAACACATCTACTTACAGAAGTGGCAAAGTTCAATTAATGTTGCAATACAAGGAATCGGTGTATGTAATTGCAATCACTCAGGCTGCTGCAGCTGTAATTTTTTG